ATTGGCCACCTGCAGCGACTCCCAGAAGCGATTCGTAATGTACGTCTGCTCCGGGACGGGACTGCTGGACACCAGCTGTATGGTGGAGGAGACGACGTCGTCGCGCACATAATTCCCGGCTGCAATCAGCACACTTAGCTGCGTATCCAAATGCCAGCGCGTGGTTGGCGAGTAACGCTCGGCGGCAAGAATCATGCCTGAGCTACACTGCGCCTTGAACTCGGCGTCCGCCTTCTCGAGGAAGAGCAGCAGCTCCTTGGTCATTGTACGTATGTTTTGTGCATTGATCAGCGCGAACGACAGCTCCATCGCCCGCCGGCGTATGGAGACGTCCGGATCCTTCAGGCACTCCAGAATGGTGGTGCGATGCCGCTGCACCGCCGACGTGTCCGCGTGCACCGTTCGCAGCAGCGTATTCAGCGCCACGTACCGAATGTTCTTGTCCGAGTTGAGCAGGAAACGTCCCAGAATATTGACAGCCAGGACGCGCAGTCCACCCTCCGAGCTGGAACAGAAAATGGAGAAGCACTCTAATCAAAACGCTCTAATCGGAAGTAGATCAGACCACAACTCACCGTATGTCCATGATGGAGAGCACCGTCTCGTAGAGGATCGTATTCCCCACATTCTTGCTCGTCTCCGTGTTGGTGGCCACCTGGGCCAGGATGTCGTTCATGGCCTCGGAGGCATCCGGATCGTTGTGGCCCAGAATGCGCAGTAGTCGCAGGATCTTCACCTGCAGGAAGGGATCGCTCACCCCGCTGACGTCGTGCTCCGGCGAATAGCCACCCAGTATCAGGTTCTTCAGGATGCGCACCAGGTTCGGCACAATCTGGGGGTCATACGTACAACACATTATATAAGTAGTTCAACTGGAGGGCATTACATTATGCGGGAAATACGGAAAATCGTGTGACAGTGAGTGTATAATAGGTGTGAAAGACAAAGAACTGTAAGAACTTGAAGTGTGCAAATGAAACGAAACGAAGAATAACTAAAGCTCGGCTCAAAAAACACTTGAGACACGGCCATCTACGAAGAACTCTATATGTACAGGTCGTGTGTGAGGAGCGAATCCTACCAAAAATTGCAATTGTAGATCGAAAACTCTAGGCCAAAAGTCAATTTCCGCCGTTTATGTATATGTCTGTGCAGGCAAAATGGTTGTATGGATCACAAAACTGATACAGATAGCATAATGTATTAGGACCAGATGGAACTGATCAAAGCGGCTTAGCAGAGATAAATGTAAGCTATTAAAGCACTTAACCAGTTGTGACTAAAACTGTACCACTTCATATTTAAAAATGTTTTCAGTTTCTAAATTCTAAAACCAAAATTGTTAATATATTTATTGATAATGTCAGCAGAGGTAAACTTTTTGTTAAATGAATGAGCGATAAGATAAATATGTTATCAGTGCTTTGACTGCATCATCTTGTTATCAAAAATAGTTTTTAGAAGCCCATTTCTTTCTAACAATGATAGTAGTAGTCTTTAACAAGGTATTGAAAATGAATATTAAATTATACGAACTTTGAACTGGTAGTTTACTAACATGAAACAATGAATGACTCATTTCAACCACAACTGCATATATGCATATTATAGATATCGCTGCTTTGAGACATATACATAGGCAACAGCAAGAAACTCTTACAAAATTATACGTTTTTTACATATTTATATATAAATACAGGTGTGTGGGATAAGGTAGGTAAAAGGCGTTACAGTTTTATTTGCTAGTTAGGCACAACAATCATACCTCTCGATTTCCGCTATCCTGGCAAGCAAATTACAACAAATTTCATTTTGTGTTTGCGCGGTATTCGAATTCGATCAAAAACAAACAAGCGTTAAAAAATCGTAAGTACACAGGTTGATCGGTTGAAACGAAAAAAGGAGTGTGGGGTGTGTAAAAATCGGCAAAGTAAACGAAAAGATACGTAGATTGAGGTATACATATGGGCAAAATGGGTGATAGCGGGAAAAATATAATTGTTATATCGGCTACGTCTATAGATAAATGGGGGCGCAGTAATTGTACACAAAAATTGGGACTTGGAACCCGCTCTTTGTGGGCGTTTTCTTTCTCTTTCCCAAGTGCCCCCATTAATGAGGAGCTGCAGCAGGGGCAGTTGATGAAGTAGAAGGCCTCTGCCGTGAACTGGTTCCGAGTACTTGATCCCGCCGCTGGCCACGTCAACTTACCTTCTTGAAATGCATCAGCGTGTCCGAGCTGTTCTCGCACATCTCCGTGATTAGCGTTACGCCAGTGATCAAAATTCCTGCAAAGAAAGTGGGTGAAAATTAGTTTAAAGTTCCCAAATGGTCTGGAAAATGTTTAAAGCTAAATTGTAGCTCATAACTTTAGAGTTTTATAAACTCATCGCTTAATTATTTGCAGCTCGTGACTCACAAGCTATACGATAAACCCAAAAAATATATTCTAAATAATTTTAGAAAAACATTTGAATAGTTCATGTTCCGAATATGTTTTGGTTTATCTTATACTTCCACTTTATTTGATTTGGAATTTTTTCAACTTTAGTTATGGGGGATTCTGAAGTAATACCATGGACCTACCGTGATTCTTCTCGCTGAGCAGGGAACGCGTGGCCGGCAAGAAGATCTCCATCAGCTCGGGCACACGGCGGATGACGCGAAAGGCGCACAGCGTCGCCTTCTTGCGGATGTACGTGTTCGGGGACTTCATCAGACGCTCCACCTCGCTGGCCAGATCCCGGGCCATTTCCGGAGAGGCGATCGCACCCAGAGTGCACAGGGCCAGGCCTACGACGAACTGCGTCGAGCTGTTCAGATCGCTGGAATCAAGATAGAAAATAAGTCAGTACTTGACAGATACCCAATTGTATTAAGAGCATTTTACATGTTTTAATACTTTCAGAATAAGATCCATAAATACTATGAAAGGTCCTAAAAAAAACGGGAAGTCTCTCAAACATTGCCTATACGACTATCTATATTTCTGTTTCCGTGCTAAGAATTAGTTAATTATTCCTAATTTTGATGTAGTTCCCAGTGCAATAGCGGATTCCCCGAAAAGCTTACTTCTTTAAGCAGTTGGTGATGAGCAGGTGGACATCCTGCCGCTCATCCAGCAGCAGCATGGCGCCCAGGTAGCCGATCCGCTTGTCTGTGAACCGCGTGCTGGCCGTCAGCTTAAGGCACTCCAGTTGGCCAAAGTGAGCCGGATAGCCGAGCATGTGTATGTACAGCAGCTTGGCAATGTTGCGACAGCTGTGGGCGAACGAAGGTAAACATTATAATTCGATTTAATGGGAACATTGGGAGGGTATTATATGCAAGATATATATGCAGCTGACTCACCGCCAGACGGAGTCCTCCTCGCGAAACGTGCTCCGTATGTAGGCGCACTCTTTGTTGACCACCGCCCGCTCCTCTGCGGCGGTTCTGGCGGCGCGAATCTGTCGGATGAGGTCGCGCAGGCGTGTGGGCGTGGGCATTCTGACTGTGGGCGAAGAAAATGTTAATTAACCGGCTTTTGTCTGGCAGTTGATCTCTTTTAAACCTAGCTGGTCCTGCGTTCTGCTACATGAAACCAACTGAAGACCATACTATATAGAATAAGTCAAGAAATATAGACCCCTTGGTTTTTTTCTCTTTAGACACCTAAAAAATTGTATTTACTATATTACATTAAAACTTTAAAGTACAGCAGTTGTACTAGCTACTCTTTGTTAAACTATAAATATCACAATCGTCTTCCTTAGAGGTTCTTTAGTAAACATAAATGAGATCTGTCTATGCTACAACTGATAACCCTTTCACTCCAATGAAATCTAATTGCATTTCGCATTTTCAAGATTGTGTTCATGTGAAGCTAATGGCCTGAAATCAGTGGATTCAGACTGTATATGGGTTGTAAATTGTGCTTTATTGAGCATTTTAACACATTAAGCTTATATTGTATTTTTTTTATTTGGCATACTTTTTTGGAGAGTTTTAAATGATTGTTTATAGTTGAAAACCTATTTCTAATTTGATTATTAACTACAAGAATTTATTTAAGCTTTGTTATCTCGTTGTTTTGGAGATTTTGACTCGGAAAGAGGTGATCGAATGTGATGCAATACAGTTTCCATTAAACTCGAAACCTTTTAGGTGGTTTCAAACCTGTGATCAATCAGAATTTTGAAACCACCTAAACTTCCGAGTTTCCAAAATCAGTTGGCATTCCCAGATAGCCCCGAATTTTCCCCAGGCCATGGCCATTTTCCACCGTGCGTTGACCTTTAGAAAGCTTACCTCTCTCCACAGCCTCTGTGAATGCTTGCCGTATGGTGGCCATATTGAAGGCTGGATTGAATCTGTCGGGGGGAAAGATATGGGTTTATAGGAGAACTCTGGAAGGGGGCTGCGATTGAGGATCCTACCCATGCTCGGAGTTCATTGTGGCGGCGAGAAACGTTGAATCACTTGTGTGGCAGCCTTTTCCGCTCTTTAGTCGCACTCTTATTTAATATCTCTCTTATTCCTTTTCCTCTTTTGCCGGCCTACGCGCTTCTGTGTTTTCTTTTTGTTGCTGGGCGGCGATGCAACAACACAAATTAGCGAAACGAACCAACGGTTTTTCCTCTGCAGATCTTCCACGCACAAACACACACTCCCACACACACACACGGACTAACAGCCGGCCGCTATTTTGTTGCACTCTCGCTCTTTCTCTCTCTCTTGCTTGCTCTCTCTTCAGCTAAGCTAATAGGAAAAAGGTTTAGTTAGTTTAAATAAAAGCAGTAACAATTACCGCTGACATAAACTAGATCGCCGTTGTTATGAAACTGACATCTCAGGGCGTGCGTGTGTGCGTGAGTTGGCTCAAACAAATACACATGATCTCTTTTTCTCTCCCTCTGGCAAAGGCTACAAAAAAGTAGTGTTTTTTGGTCGAGAGCGCAATGCAAATTGATTAAATGATTAATGCACACTCAGACACACACACACACGCACATAAGAGCGAAGGGCTTCCAACGGCCAATTGGAAGGGAGAATCGAAACGGAAACAGTTATCCGAAACACAACTTGTTTACTTGTTTCCACCTAATAAAAAGTGGTTAAAACCTGGCCAAAAACGAAAACAGCTGCCGTCATCGATAGCATAAGTACATACATACATATCGATTGCATTAAAGAATCATGAAACAACAACGTCACTGCTATATAGTATAGCTTATAGTATATGCATTGAACACGTAGGGTTTTTTGTCAGCGCTTTCCTCGTTTGTTTTCAATGTGATTTTTCGCTGCTAATTTATGCGATTCACTGGAAGGCCCACACACACACACACTGGACACACACACTTGCATGCCTTTTGGGCCAACAAGAAAAGGGCAGGAAAATCTATGGCACACTTTTCAACGAGCATTTCCGCCACATCGGATCCGCTGACAGATTCACAAGCGCTACTTTTATAATAACCACCTGCCAAGAAAAAAATCGCGTCAGCTTCCCAGTGCAAAAAAATTTACAACGCGACAAAAAATAAAAAAAAATAATTTCAACACACACGGCCCGTCGTCGCAAGCACACGCACACACAACTTCGCTTCTGGCTGGAATGTTTCTGCAATTTCATTAGTTTCTAGTCCACCACTGTATTTACGCTTTAGCACATGTTCGCACGGCCAACTTTGCGCTGGTTATTCGCTATTTTAAACGCCACAAAATCAACGTAACAAGTAAAAAAAAATGTTTCGTCGAGAATATGTTGATGATGAGCGCAACAGTAGTAGTGGGTGCGAGCGAGAGGGCGATATTTACAAGCAGTTCGCAGAAAGGGACTAACGCGTCGCCCGCAAAGGGACTAGTGCGTTTGTCGTACAGTGGGTGTCGGTGAACAGAGAACTACAACTTAGAAATAAACACCTATATTATTAAATAAAATAGTGTCGTTTCCTTAATTTAATTACGGATCCATTGAAATTCTATGCTAAGTGTTTTGGTTCTTAAAACAACATATTTTAATTAGTAAAGTGACAAAGAACAGGGTTTCCAACTATTTGGAAATTTTATAATGTAGTTTTAACTGCTTGATTTTTGGACACACATTAACGCTTCTGTTAAATTATGCCAAACAATAGCTGCAATTTTGTATATTTAAATACAACTTTCAAAATAAAACTAAGCTTTCTTTGGTATTTTTTGGATGCATTCATTTTGAACGATTATCTTACATTAAAACACCTACTCAAATGTTCACTTAACGACTGACAAAGCAGTGAAAATTTCAACACTTTCAGAGCAACAAATAAGATAAAACGAAAACAACAAATTGCATTAAAATAAGCATTTGCAATCACGGGATGATTCAACGTTTTTTTGCCACACAAGACACAGGTAAAAAAATACCGCAACACAAAACGGCCAATGAACGGTCACACTGCGCCGCATAACGTCATTTTTGAAACACCATTTCAAACGATTCCTTTCAAGATCTTGAATGGGAATCTTATTTTGGCGTCCGCTCATTCCAAGGGATTAAATCTCACCTGCGATTGTTCTCCGGCGGCAGAACACTCCAGTCCTGCTCGTAGTACGGATACATGGTCGCTTCTCACTGAAGCAGGGAACTAAACCGACTGGAATGGGAATGTCAGCGATAAGCACCGAGTGCTCCACATAGGCCTTATCTAATGTACACTAATAGTTAACAGGTAACGCTCTGCCTTCCCGACTCTCTAGCTATACATATGTAGGCCCAGCTAGGCGATCATTTCCAGTCCGAGCGGTGGAAACTCCTGCGGAAGACTGACGATTCCAGTGCCACTCACCAGGTGTTGTTTTTGGTGGCAACGCACTTATCTATTCGCTGATAATGGTCATAACACAACCCACAAATAACAATCCCGGCTGGTTGTTTCTTTTTACGGTTCGGTTCGGATAAGCGGAGCCCCATTGACAACCGCCATATCGAGGTAGCACGAACGCCGTGCTGTTAGATAAAGCCTGAACTCTCCCGATTTACGCAAATCGCATACTCACCCCACAGTCTCCGACTTACCATAGCCCTTGGACGATCGAAGTGAATCAATTTTCAAAATACTATACTACTAACTAATTATAAAACAGCACATCTGAGTTTTAAAGTGGGAAAAACTATGTTCTTAATAAAATTTAACTACTTAATATAATTGATTAATTTATCTTCATATAGGTATTTTATTTCTTGAAGGGATTAAATATACAAAGTACTATCTATTTACAAATTTTTAAGTTTATTTTGAGTTAGCAAGTGCTTGCCTTTACATATACTTTAATGAACGTTTCGCTTTCCGTCATTGTAACAATTTTATTTGTAATTCGCTGTCATTTTCTGAAATCTATCTGTCAAGACACAAATAGCATTTAAAAGCTGTTTTGTGCTTAACAGAAAGATACGAGTCTACGGAAAACAGCTCTAGTTAAGGCCGTTGCAAGGCTGTTGTTTGATAAAGCGGGCACCTCCCGCATTTACAACAATGTACAATTGGTATCTCACAATCTTCCCCGGCTAATTACAAATAAGCATAGTCCTAAGCCCTTAAGTTACGAAAATACAAGTCTAATTAAAGCCAGTGGCGGGATGATGGGCCCGTGTCCTTCTAGAACTCCTAATCGTTTTCCCGCGGCGGCCTGACCACCGCATGTCGTTTGATGGCCTCCACCAGCCACTTGATGCCCTCGTCGACGCCCTCACCGTGCAGGGCAGACACTGGAATGGTGAGGCAATCCCGACGCCCTATCAAGGCGCCCGCCTGCTGGAACACGGGCTTGATCTCCCGCACTCCCATCACATCCGGCAGATCCTGCTTGTTGGCCAGGATGAGCAAAGGCACGCCTGACAGCAGCTCGTTCTTGATCATCTTGTCTGAAAGAAGACATCATATATTATAAAATCTCTTGTAGCTATTCTCAAATATATTGTGGTTTTTGAAGGGGTTTAATAGCCAGTTAAGATGAAAGCTAACAAGTATTAAAGAAGAAAAAGGAAACATGAGTTTAAATTTGGGACGAAAAGCTTTCTGTATGGGAAAATATGAAAGAATCAAGAAAACCAGCCCGCAAAATAACATTTTCTAAAGATTTGTGTATAGACCATCTGCAATTACCGAAGATCGCCTTGGACTCGTCCATGCGCTCGCGATCGTTGGAGTCGATCACGTAGATGACGCCGTGGGACTCCTGGTAGTACTTGTCCCACAGCGATTGCAGCTCCTGCTGGCCACCGAGATCCCAGAAATTGAGGCGCACGCCCTGCACGTCGATGGTGCCGATGTTGAGGCCCACTGTCGTCGTGATCTTGCTGGGATTCAGGCCCTTGTAGTTCCGCGTGAACGTGGTTTTGGCGGCCTCCAGGTAAGTCTACGTGGGCACAGGTGTTAATTTTGGGTCTGCAAGTCTCGTTTTTTCGGCTGAATCAGCCCCATACCGTTTTGCCAGCATTATCCAGGCCCAGGATCACCACGCAGTAGTCGTCCTTCTGAGTCATGTACTTGTAGAAGCCGTGCATCAATGTGTACATCGTATTGAAAGTTTGGCCAAATAAAAAAACAAATTTAATTTTGTTGACTGCACTGCTAGTGATGGCACTGTTTGCAGCCACGGGCTGTGCGATATGTTTTTAGCTAAAAAGTAGCTAGAGTTGTGGCCTCCAAATAATAGACTGGAGGTAAACGCTTCTAAATTATTAAATTTATCAAAAATATGTATCAATACATTTAACTTTGGGTTCCAATCTTTTAATAACCGCTGTCATTCGTTTGTTTTCTACTCAAAAATATTATTTATATTGAGCAAAACAAGTAGACATTTTCCAACTCTAAGTGAGACCGTATCCCAGTGGTATTTAAGTGGAAAACAGTCTGGCAACCACACACCCGTACGCTTGTGTGTGTCTGTCCGTGTGCGTGCGTGTTTTTTTCCCAATTTTCCATTGTATTTTTTGTGCTTGCAAATCGAAGGGAACGCAAAAAGGTGGTTTCACATAGGAATTAAGTCGCCAGAAAGAAGAAAACCGACATGTCGCTATCGAGCCTGCTGCCCACGCCGACGAACGCGGTCTGGGATCGGGAGGACGAGCGTCGCCTGGCCGCCCGCGGAGCCCCGAAGATCGGAGCCCTGGTCTCCGCCAAAATCGCTGCTCCGCCGTACGGACAGCGAAAGGATTGGATTCCGCGCACGGATGCCGACTTCGGCGACGGCGGCGCCTTCCCGGAGATTCATGTGGCGCAGTATCCACTGGGTGGGTTCTCGCTTCCGTAATCAAACTTTCTCTTTGCTTTCCAGGAAAGGATCTGATCGTGGTTCCTCGAAGGAGTCCCACACATTAGATCAGCCTTTTATATGTATTTGCCTGATCCTAGGCCTCAAAGTGTATTCCTCACCAGCATCGCAAAGCTGGTCAATTTAAACCTCTATGTATGCATAATTTTATGCAAAAAGATGGTCTCCGTTTTAAGATCTGTGGTTGAACCTATAATTACTACCGAAACAAGGTAGTTGCCTGCGGGGACCCTTAACCCTATGTAGTATATAGCATGCATGTCTCTATGCCAACCAATCAGAATGATCCTATGTAGTATATTCCCTAATCAGCAGTTTCGCTATCTTACAATATTAAGTCCTATTTACCCATACATACAACCTTAATGAGGCCTGGGTGTTTACTATATATCCCTTTTCTCCTTTATAGGTCTGGGAGCACCAGGAAATGTGGGCAAGAAATCGGATGCCCTGGCCGTTCGCCTGGACGACAAGGGAAAGGTCAAATACGATGCCATAGCGCGCCAAGGACATGGCAAGGACAAGGTTGTGTACTCGTCCATCTCGCAACTGCTGCCGGCTGAGGTTTTGGCCGAAGATGCGGATGAACTGCAGCGACCAGACGAGGAAACGGTACTGGAAACAACCGAGGAGACTCGCCTGGCACTGGAGAAGCTGACCAATCAAAAGATCACCTCGGCGCTGCCCGTGCGCCATGCCCAGAAGGCGGGTCCAGCCCAATACATCCGCTACACACCCTCACAGCAGGGTGATGCCTTTAATTCGGGCGCTAAGCAGCGGGTCATCCGGATGGTGGAGGCGCAGCTCGATCCGATGGAGCCGCCCAAGTTCCGCATCAACAAGAAGATTCCACGTGGGCCGCCCTCGCCTCCGGCACCCGTCCTCCACTCGCCGTCGCGCAAGGTGACGGTCAAGGAGCAGAAGGAGTGGAAGATCCCGCCCTGCATATCCAACTGGAAGAACGCCAAAGGTCAGTGGGGTTTCAGGGTGCTTTTCTGTGCACTGGCTGGGTTTTTACGACTTGTATCTGGTATTTATACTAACACACACTTTTCGTTGCTTTCAGGTTACACCATTCCCCTGGACAAGCGTCTGGCAGCTGATGGACGTGGTCTGCAGCAGGTGCACATCAACGAGAAGTTCGCCAAGATGGCCGAGGCACTGTACATAGCCGATCGCAAGGCTCGCGAGGCGGTGGAGGCCCGCGCTCAGCTGGAGAAAAAGCTGGCCCAGAAGGAGAAGGAGAAGAAGGAGGATATGCTGCGCATGATGGCGCAGCGGGCTCGTGAGGAGCGAGCGGGTCTACGCAATCCAGAGGCAGCTGAGCCATCGGGTCCGTCGGGTGGTGGAGGAGCCGAGGCGCGTGAACGCAACGATTTACGAGCGGAGCGTCAAAGGGAACGCCAGCGGGACAGGAATCTGCAGCGGGCGGCCCCGGAAAAGCGATCGAAACTGCAGAGGGAGCGGGAGCGCGACATCTCCGAGCAGATCGCCCTGGGTTTGCCCGCCAAGAGTGCCGGCAATGGCGAAACCCTATTCGATCAGCGTCTCTTCAACACCACCAAGGGCATGGACTCCGGTTACGGGGATGACGAGGCGTACAATGTGTACGACAAGCCCTGGCGCGATTCCAACACACTGGGGGCCCACATCTACCGACCCAGCAAGCAGGCAGACAGCGAGAACTACGGCGGTGATCTAGATGCCATTGTAAATACCAAGCGTTTCGTGCCGGACAAGCAATTCTCTGGTGCTTCCCGTGATGCGGCCGCCGGCCAGCGGAGTGGACCCGTTGAGTTCGAGAAAGAGGAGGATCCATTCGGTCTGGATCAGTTCTTGAACATGGCCAAAAAGGCGCCCAAGCGAGCCGAGGAAAAGAACAACGAGCGCAGCAGCCATTCGGATCGCAAGCGTAGCAGGCGCGATTAGATAAAAGCTTTAGCGTGAGGATCACCAATCATCGCTGCAACCACATCATCAACATCATCGTAAACACTATCATCATCCACCAACCAAACAAACTTTTTTTAACTACTCCAAAAACTTGGCGAGAATTTCAATAATAATCACAGGATCTTGACATAACACAAATCGTATTCTTGCCTTCGTTGAGGGTGGCTCATAGTGAGAACTGCATGTGCTGCGCCAGCCATCCCATAAAGGTATCAACTCGCGTGACGACCATCGGTGTGCGATCGGAACCGCAATTGGATCCACCCAGCGAGATGATACCCACCAGCTGATTGTCGTCCATCACCGGGCCGCCGGAGTCGCCAAAGCAGCTTCCCTTCTTGGTGGCGCCGCCTCCGGCGCACATCTGACCCCAACTCACGTCCCAGTATTGCTTTTTACAGCTTTCCGTGGACCAGCCATTAACCTGAGCCTTGATCTTCACAGTGCTGGTGGTCACTGACAGGCCATTGGTGCGACCCCAACCGGCGATGGTCAGGTTGAAGTCCGCATAGACATCTCTGCGGGAGGGATTAAACACCGGTGGCAGGCAGATGGGCTGGATGAACTGCGTGTAGGTGACGGCCCGGCCAAGAAGAAGCAGGGCAATGTCGTTGGAGTGCTTTTCCATATTGGTCCCATTAGTGCCGGTGGGTCGGTACAGCTCGTGCACAATGGTTCTTTTGATGGGAAAGTCCTCGGGTGGTGGCGTGCAGTTGGGCCCCCGGCAATCCTCCGTCTGCCGAACATCCCACACTCCCAGACGAACGAGACGCAGTTTCTCCTCGCGATTCTCCTTGCTTGGCACACAATGGGCGGCGGTGAGGACCCACTTCTTGCCCACCAGGGAGCCGCCGCACTTGGGCAGCAGCCGATCTCCGTACAGCAACATGGCCATCCAGGGGAATTCCCGGATATTGGCCAGCTCGCCATTGGAAATATGGGGCTTTGGATCGCGGTTGCAGTAGTCCTTCATCGATTGCGAGTATGCCAGACGGGTCTGTAGGCAGCAAACCGTATGGAAGCACTCGGCCGAATCCTTGGCCTGGACAAAACCCAGCTCCTCCACGCACTCATCGATGGGAAGGCACTTGCCTCTTTCGGGTCCATGACAGATACCGAAGTGCAGCCTGGGCTCTGCAATAAATATAGAAAAAGTGGGTGCTTTTGATACTAGAACCATATTTAAGCACTTCCTGATAGGCGTACAACTTACTTGCACTGCTGCTGGCTAAAAACACTACGCAGAGGTACAAGCCAAAGGTTCCGGATCGGAGATCCATAGCTTTGAATCTGAATCAATGGAGCATTTCGAATGGGAGAGCATTTCCCAAGTGCAAGATTCAAGCTCTTGAACTACGTAGTTGCTAGTAAAACCTGATTACACTCTTTGCAAGATAGTGAGAGAGATTGTCATAAATTAAAAATGAATTAATAGTAAAAGCCGTAGTCAATACTTTGGACAGGGAAAAGAAAAGTAAATATTTTTATTTAAAAATTTTAAAGTTGAAATGTGCAAAAAAAACCTTCTTATGTTTGTTTAAAAAAAATTTTATAAATGTTTACATTTATTTACTTAAATTAACATTTTTAAAATTTTATTTATAAACTTAAATATTCCAGACTACACCCATGGATATACAAGTCGAGTAAAAGCCCGCCAATGCATTGGGTTTTTTATTACTTCCACGATTTTATTTAATATTTTTAAAGTTTGCTTTGGAAGTGAAAAACACCAATGGAATGCATCTAGATTCTTAAACCGATCTTCGAGTATCTATATTTCAAAAAGTACAGAAAAGTACCATCAATACCGTTAATTTAGAAAATAGAAAGCCATTCAGTGTTGCAAAATGTCGCAAGACGTGCACGTGCATCGTTGGTCGGCGTGAAATGTAAACAAACAAAGCCAGGCTAGTAAATAAGTGTTTTCGTAGAAATGCCAAGGAAACCGGAAAGCAGCGACTCGGATTCGGAGGATGACGCACAGATGCGTCAGTTCCTGGAGGCGGCGGATACCACCCTGCTCACAAATGCCATGTTCCAAAATTCCAAAGAGGAGCGACCGATGGCCAACGAGATATCCAAACAGGATAGGCCTCCGGCCAAAAGCGAACGGTACGTGGAGGACCAGGAAGCTCCCGCCAGCGATCTCCAGATCACGCAGGAGATGCAGACACACATCTGGAGCCGGCTCAGTGGCATAATCCGGGAGCAAATCGAGTGGTCCCTGGACAAACCCAATTGCGAAGGAAAACAGAAACCCCCACCCGACAAAGTAAGGCTAATGTCCAATGCTGATTGCTATTTAATCGCTGACTTGGTGGTGGAAGGTCCTCCGGGTCCTAAAAAGAAACCCAGCATCAAGAGAAGGACCCCCAAAGAAGACCAATCCTCGCCAGAAGCCCAAGGATCTGTGGCAGTCAGTGGTGCATCTATTCTAGAAGGCAAGGACCTGCTCGCCTGGGCTCAGAAAAAGCCGCGGCACGACAAGGTCTTCCAGTACCGAGCCAGCGATCCAAAGGCCACAAAACTCCAGGCCATTGAACCCACCAACGAGTTCACCAAGCGTAGGCGACAGAATAATTGGAACGAGTCCAAGATTAGCAGAAAGAAAGCAAATAAATGAATACAAAATAGTACATGGGGTTATTTAATTATTACACTTTGTAGGGCCGTAACATTTTCAACTTAAAACTAAAAATCCTAGTCGGTTAATACAAAACTTGAAACTTTTAATTATAATTATAAGAGATATCTATGTCTGAGATATTTTGGATTAATATAACTTTAATTAAGAATGTGGCAATGAAATGGATTTGTGATACTATTAAAGTGCAAACTAGAGTCCAAAGTCTCTTAAGGTAAAAAATCGAATCCATCTTCCAGTTGCTTTCGTCTTATCTAACAAATGACTATGGTGTGGTTAAAAAAGTTAGGATGCCTAAGCCTAATCATGACTCAAAGGTGGCGTGAAAGTTGGTGACTGTGGCCCCATTGCCATTCCCATTACCACTTGTGCTGCCATTGCCACTTGTTCCCGTCATATTTGAGGTATTGGACGATATCTGGCCATCGAGCAGGCCGTACAGCATCTGCTGGGAGCTGACAGTGCCACTGGAGCCCGTACTCCCGCCCAGATCCTGCAGCATTTCGCCCATCGCCATGTTTCCGCCGATGCTCTGACTGCTGCCGGTGGCACTGTTGTCCAGGATGTTGAGGAAGTCGTGGCCATTGAACTCGTTGTGCTGTTTCTGCATACTGCTCTGGCTCTCCTTCATCAGCTTATCGTACTCCTGCAGCACGCTGTTGAACTCCCCGATCTCCACTCGGTTCCTGGCCAGCACTTTGTGCTTGTAGTAGTTGTGCACCTGGGTGAGCGAGGTGCCCGTAAGTGCAGTGTGGGCACGTTCCAAAGGCACTAGCTGAAGCACCGTCGACTTTTGCAGCCGCGGCTGGGTGTCGTAGTTGCCGCGATACTCGCCGATGAAGCTGCGCAGGAACTCCTCGGTGGCATCCGTCAGCAGTTGCACCGCCGACTCGGAACAGTCGGTGAATCCGGCCAGACGCAGCATGCCGCACATCACCTTGCGCATCGCCTGGCGGCAGGCAGTGCTGGATATCTCCGGATACGACTGCGGATCGCCCCGGGAGTACGGCGTGTCCACGGTGGGCGTGAACCAGATGGGCTTCTGGAACTTTTGGCTGCCCACCAGCTCGGCGGCGTTCTCCGGAGGAAAGTCCACCTCCGGTATCATAAGGCAGGGATTTAGCAGGTAGTTCGAACTTCCCTGGAGGATCGGAAAGGATTTTTAGTTGGGATCGGAGTGATTGATTGAGTGATGATTTCCGCGGGACTTACATTTTTGTTGGAGTACGTTTCGATGAGTGATTGGAGAACTTCGGTCTGTTTCATCACCTCGATGGTCTGGGTGACCAAGGCGCTCCTCAGTTCTACCGTGTGGCTGCATGGAATCGAAATATTAGTTAACCGGCCGTAATACTCATCCATTGAGCTATAATTACTGCTTTTCATCCGGCTGTATTTCCCCGCGCAGACGAATCTCGTCCAGTTTGGGTTTTTTGGCCGCCGTGGGCACATATTTGTCCGGCGTCAGTTGGACACCATCGTCATCCGCGGGCAGCGAGCCCCAATGCTCCACTTGCATGGCTATATTCTCTTAAAATCTATGTAAAGCATTTACCCTATGAAAAGTACAAAAAACGTTTGTTTTGTTTTCGTTTTGGCGATAGGCATGGCATATCGGGCCTATCGATAAGTTCAACTCATCAGCTGATTGGCATAGGCATCGGTTTGTTTTGTCCGGTTGCATCTGGCAACGATGGCCTCGAACGTTTTCTGTTTTGGTTATCAGAAAACGTCGTCGTCGCCTAATTAAATCAAGGTTAGGATCAAAGAAAAACAAATAGGAAAAACCTCATCTAGTCAACTGAAGTTTTGGAGTTTAGCTGGGCGACCTGCTTGAGCCCAATGTAGGTCGTCACACACAAGTGTATTTATTTATATATTTCTCGGCCGCCGTGACAAATGGCAACGCCACGGCAGCTAACGCACACAAGCATGTAAATCATTGTATTCGTTCCAAGAATTTTTGAGGTAAAACCGAGTGCACTACGTGGAAGCAAGATTACCCAGCGACGCAGACGACGAGTGGGACTGTCCGGCGGATTGGCGGCTGGAGGATACGGCGCTTACAACGGCAACAAGATGCACCAGCAGCACGTGGACCTGCACGCTCCCGTGGACCTGAACAAGGTGAGTCTTCTTCCAGGGAAGTGGATTGGATGTCCTTTTTAATACTTACCAAGTGCTCTATTTCCTGCGATCCCCTGGTTATCCTTTAGTCCCTGGACGAGATGACGCCGGAGGAGCGCATGCGGTGAGTGTGGAGGAGTGGGCTACGAAATTCCCCCATTTTTTTGAGGCTAATCTTAAACCCCATCCCACAGAGCGGAGCACCAACTGTTAGTGGAGAAGCATCGCGGCCACGACGCCATGCACTCCGAGATGGTGATCATCCTGTTCGTCACCCTGGTCATTGCCCAGATCATCCTGGTGGAGTGGAAGAAGCGGCACTACAGATCGTACTCCTTCGTCACTCTGCTGGCCATGTGGCTCATCCCGCTGATCATCTCCTGCAGCTTCGGCTGGCTGCGCTTCATTCTTATCTGGCTGATCTTCACCAGCATCACGGCCCTGGTGATGCGCCGGGCCATCAGCAAGCCCATCCAGGGCACAACGCCCAGGTGAGTCACTCCCGTCGATAAGGGCTGCCGTCTCCGGAACCCCGATAATAGCAAATCTAATCCGTTTACAGGCTGGTCTACAAATGGTTCTACTTCATTTACAAGCTAAGCTATGGCCTAGGCCTGGTGGGCTATCTGGTGATCATGGCCGCCTTCCTGGGCATGAACTACCTGTTCTTGCAGCTTCCAAACACCTGGATGGACGTGGGTCTGATGTTCTGCTTTTACGGCCTCTACATTGGTGTGCTGGGGCGGGATATATCTGAGATATGTTCGGATAAGATGGCGGCGGCCATAGGCGTGAGTTTGCGATCGGTTTGGTACTGGTCTTTAGCCTACTAACCCTACGATCCCCGCAGTACTACACACCTCAGGGCATTCCCACCCGGCATCTGGATCAGAATGTCTGTGCCGTTTGTGGCAACCAGCTGCTGGTTTCCGAGAAGGAAGAGGGCGTCATCGAGAATACATACAAGCTGTCTTGCAACCATGTGTTCCACGAGTTCTGCATACGTGGCTGGTGTATTGTGGGCAAGAAGCAGACGTGTCCCTACTGCAAGGAGAAGGTCGATCTCCAGAAGATGTTCCGCAATCCGTAAGCCATAAAGTGTGCTCTTAAGTTCCATTGCCTTACCTTGATTCTCCTTGTCCGGCAGGTGGGAGAAGCCGCATATGTTGTATGGACGCCTGCTGGACTGGATCCGCTGGCTGGTGGCCTGGCAACCGCTCATCTTCTTTATAGTACAAGGGATCAATTGGATGCTGGGACTGGAGTAGGTCCCGCTCCTGCTTCTGCTTCCGGTACTAGCTTTCCTCGGCGTCTAGTCAAGCACACACACTTCGGATTAAGTCCTGCACATGTAACCACACAGACAACATGACGACTTCAACAACGACAGACCAATTGGAGGGGTGGCGAGACACTAGCACCAGCACCGTCGCCACTCATTCCCCCGCTCCCCTCCAGAGCTCCTGAACGATGATGAGGATTACAATGACGATGACACGGATGACCCAGCTTTAGACGAAGCCATCCATATGCCATTGCCATCCAACCTGTTTCCGGGTTTCCAGTTCTGTGTGTGTTAAGCTTTTGGGGCACCCAAATTTTCCATTGTTCAGTCTTTAATCGAAACGTAAATGCAATTTTGGATATATGTGTATATATATCTATATATTATACATAGCTATGTATTTATGTACATATGTGTGCCTGTGTGTATGTCTCCTAGGTATTATTACCAGTTTTATTTCCTTGATTTTACTTAATTGCACTGGAGCTGGTTAGGATTATACATATACCAAAAAAAATCCATTGATAAATTACTCCAAACTATTTCATTTTCACATTGGGGCGGGCAAGGAAGGCCCATGTTATTGCCTTATTTAACTCGATTATACATAAATGTTCCAAAGAGCACCAGCATTGCTGTCTCTTTCGTTTTCATTAGGCTTTTCTCTCCTGAAGAAAGTAACCACTTTACTGAAATAACAAGTTTCTTGCTTTATTTTAAGGTTTTTGATTTTCTTAAGGCAACAACAATAACAAAAAGTAGGAGAAAGAAGCCCGAAAGATCTGAGTGGGGAAAACCCTCTGGCATAACAGATTAAAACTGGACAGAGTGTATATGCTAAGCTTATGCTGGCATTAAGGTATTTAGGCACGGGGAATTGGAGGATTGGGACCGACTTCGAGGCGGGGTAATGAACGAACTGCTTTATATGTACACCTGCCTGTATGTACATCTAAACCTAAACATAGATTGAGCCACATGGCCACCGCTCAGTAGCCAGAGGCGCCGATCATCTTGCGGATCTGCTCGAAGGACAGCCAAAAGGTTAAGGACCACGGTGCCATCCGTATCCAGCAGGGCAGGAAGCCCTTGTACAGTGCTACGAAGCCCTCCCTGGCCACCGTTTGACGCAGACAGTCCACGGATCCTCGGTAAAGCAGCCCCCTTTTCAGGATAGAAGAAATGGGTTAGCGTTTTAGTTGCTGAACCTGCTGCCCATCTACTCACCGCCCCTTCTCGTCGGTGGGCTGGTTCATGATGCGCGTCTTCACCACATCGGCTGGCGTGCCCATGACGGCTGCCACAAATCCGGCGCACACGGAGGCCAGCACATGGACCGTGTGGCAGTCGGGCATCTGCAGGCGGTCCATGATCAGGTGCTTGATGGTGTCATATGTGGTTAGGTCGCCCAGGTTGACCAGCGCCGCTCGCTGCACATTGGGGATGCTGCCCTTCCACAGGCCCTTAACGCCGCCCCGGTGCACGATCTTTCGGAAGGCGTGACCAGCGGAGTGGACTCTGGGCGGTTCGCCCATCAATCGCCGCCTGCCCTCCATCTGGATTTGCACCTTGACCAGGTCGGCGGGCGAGGCCAGCCACTGGGCAACGGCTCCGGCGGTGACGCCGCACAGCGCCGACTTCCAAACCGGCAGCGCCTGACTGCCGTTCTTGGTGAACTCCTTCCGCATCAGGTCGTAGCTGCAGATCCTCACACCGCTGCGGATGGACATGGACAGGGAGAACTCGGGTTAGAACTTGCTGAGTGACTGTTGCTGATGGTTGATAGTTGGTAGCTGATAGCTGCTGGGCTGGCAGATTGGCTGTGGCGATGATCTAGATGCTAGAATGAGGAGTTTTTGGGGATGCCCACCTATAGACGACGTGTCGGTAGAGCGCCGGCGTCACGCCCTGCCACAGCTTCAGGGCGCCCTCCTCGCGCGCAATCCCGAAGGCGGTAGCCACCATGCCGCGGTATTGCATCTGGTAATGGTAATCGTTGGGAATCGGTAATTGTGGTTGTTCATTGTAGTATCTGTATCTGTTGCAGGCCGAAAAGAACACAAGATTCACATGGAACAGGCACACACAAACGGAAAATAGTGGACTGTGGGATGGTTCGATCTGTGGAGTCCTATTTCTAGTCATAGTCCCTAGTCTATGGAAAAATCACAAAACATTATAGCACTTTGGGAAATAAAAAGAGAACATTTTCACGGACAATCTCAATATATACATGATACAAATCTATGTTTGTAACCCTTTGCTTCAAACATAAAAAAAAATTTTAATTTAATTTAAAGTACTTTACTTAGTAAACAAACTATATATAATAATTTATAGTTGACATTTTAGCCATCCCTATCTTTACAAGCAAATATATTTGCTATTAAATTCTCCATTCTAAGGGTATCTTTCCTTTTTAATTACATTTGGTTTCTTAAGTGGAACATATTTGTCAAACTTTTGTCAAGATTAAAAAAGTACCTATTTGTATTTGTTACTATCGTTATCATATTTTCATTTTATAATAAACATAGCTTATCTTTCTCAAAATTCTCTGACACAATAGACCCACTAACAACCGTATGGTATATAATTGCTTTCAAATCGATCCATACACAGATGGGAAAACAGGATGGGTATACGATTACAACTGCGGATGTGGTGGATGAGCAGACCGAGGTGGGGGGATGGGGGTCTGATCTGGGCAGAAGCCGTGACTGATACCGGAACACCTCGCAAAAGCGTCTTCTTGCAGGCCAAGTCTTATCAACATGGCCGTGCCCACTCCGATTTGCCATATCTCTTGCTTGGAATACTCGGACTCTTATCGCGTGCCATTGGACCATGTGTGGTTTAGTTTGTGAGCCATGGGATGTGTGACTGGGAGTGGGATTAGCTTTGGGATTAGGAGTAACCAAAAGCCGGTGACGACAAGAACAACAAGCGGGAAGTGGGAAGCGGGTAGTCGGTATCGGCAGGTGCCACTCACATTCGACTTTACGGCGGATTGGGCGGCTCCTTCGCCCTGGATCTGCAGACGCGTCTTGGTCAAGTCCAGGGGATAGGTGGCCAGCTCTGCAATGGAGGCGGCAACCACGGAAACGATGTAAGTGCAGGCAAAGGAGTCCGCGTAGTCGAACTTCACGGGTCGCAGCTGGTGGCGTCCACTGGAGGGCACGGGACTACTGCTGGAGGCAGGGGCCACT